TTTACAAACGCAGTTTATATTTTAGAGACTACTTCACATGTTCAATATGAAAGTTATTGTTCGACGTATCATACGGATCATCATTTGACGTTGCGCTCTATATGACATGCAGTTATAAATTTAACCGATTATACTAAGCGCAAGATCTGTCTTGCATGTAATCATTATTATGTATCGTAAGAGTTACATTACGTGCTCACAACACTCGCTATGTTCGGTGTTTGATAACGACGTCGTAACCGTGTGTCGCTTTGGTTTGATTTAAGAAAAAGAAAGAAGAAAGAACTAATAAAATTAACGAAAAGAAAGAAAAAAACAAGAAAAAAAGCTGTTGCGCGAAATAGCGATTTCGCAATGTGTCAATTATAGCGGCGAAGTGTGCCGTGTAATGCAAGAAATGACGGCTTAAATGCTGTTCGGGAACTCTGCATTTTACGATTCTCGATTTATTTAATAAATTATGTTGTAAAAAGCGATGCGCTATAACAGTCGCAAGTTTAAAGTACGATAATGGTAGCCGCGAGATCTATCCGGTGCCGCGGCCATAATTGAACGATCAAATTACCGATGTACGGTGTATTTTATTTGTATTGCAAACTCTATGTAAATACACAGGAAAGAATTGTAGGTATTTTGTGTAAATGCAATTGTAAATAATATATTAATTCGAGGCGATAGTATTGATCGCTTATTAACGACAGTCATTTCGACAGTGGCGTGCACAAAACTATTGTTTGTGATCTCGTAGTAAGCAGTAATCATGTAATATATTAATGTATCAATAGTGTATTCATGTATGGAAATGTGTCTGTTTTTTAAGTTGACGTCACACAGCAATATAAATCAACTTTACATTAACCGTTGAAGATTATTTCTTTATACTTTGAACTACCACGTTATTGATTGGATCAAGTGTAATATACTGTAACATAGAAGTCGAAATCAATTGCTATATTTCAAGTAGTACATACTTATAAATGTACTATAAACTTGTTATATTTGCAGAATAGTTAAACGCTTTTTTGGAAGTGCTCTTTTCATTTCACTCATTGATTTTATACATATTTTAACTTGAACAAAAATTAATTCTTAAAATTAAAAGATCTATATTTTCTGATATATTGTTATGATTAAATCGGTCTTTTTTATAATTAGAAATTGTGTAGTCATTGTATAGGTTCAAGTTTATACTTTATCTACATTTTAATAGTATATAATTATTAAATTTGAACTTTCTTGCAATATATTTGATCTTACAATGAAAATCATACTAGGTAGGTACATCACAAGAAATATTGACTTGATACAATTATAAAGTAAAGAATTTGGTTAAAAATCGTTTACCATTTTCTAATTCAGTATTTGGCCTCTACCTGTACTCAGAATTGAGAATGAAATATTTTTTCATAATGAAAAAATATAATAATTGCAATATACACCAAACCACTCCCATGTAAAACATCATGTAGTCTAATGAGATCGCCTTTGTTTGAAAATAGTACTTCATTTGATTCTTTGTTGATTGATAGCTGTTAAAGAATAGTGTGTCATTTAAAGATAGTGGTTTAACATGTAACATGCTGACAGTGGAATTTAAATTTGTAGTTTATTTTCACAATAAAAAATAATATGAAAACATTGCTACAATTTTAGACAGAACCAATTTAATAAAATGAAAAATGGTCCCAAAGTTAATTCGAAGAAGAAATCAATGGAAGTTAATGAATAATGGTAATAAACAAATGATAAAGTTTTAACAAAAGCCATATGTGATTGTTAAAGATAGAAGAAAGAAACTGTTTGCTGAAACTAAGTTATATATTAATATAGATTATAATGTTTGCATAAATATTATTTTTAAAAACAAGAATGACATTGATTTATTTATATTAAGCGATAAAGTAAAAATTACAGAAAACATATTAAAAAGAAAAAATTTACATTCGACAATTAAATACAGCTATTTAAAACAATGTAAGGATGTATTTTGTTTTAACAATTGAAGTTGAGAATTTAACATTTATTGAAGAAAATATAAATTTATTTAAATATTTTAAAAATGCTTTGAAAAAGTGCCATGTGATGTTTTTGAAACTGTATAGAGAATCGTTCAAGAATAGTTACTATACTAGAAAGTTAGAAGAATATAATTGACCAAGTTTGGCATAAAATACAAATCAGTGACTAAGAATAATCTACTAAACATTAATTAAAGACAGTATAAACATATATGAAAACATTCAATCAAACTCCTTAAGAAAGTTATGTATATAGTTCTAACAATGCTATTACATAAACACTATAAATAATAGCCCTATTATTTTACAAAGTATTGCAATAACTTTCTATATTAGATTTATATTTTATTATACTCTACAATTTTTTATAGCGTTATCGTTTCTTTCATTAACAAAAAATAGTATTTAATTTCTAATTCTGAGTACGTGTAACGACCAATTACAAAGTAGAATTTAACAAATAATTCTAGATTAAACCTTTCATCTTATAATTGTACTAAATCAGTGTTTCTGACGATGCGTGCTGTACGATTTTCATGGTGAGCGACTGTAAGCATGTTTTCTTGCTGGTCATTTATTTCCGTAACTTTAATCCGTTATTATGCAAAGAAAGTAGCGATTGAATATCACGTCAGTGTCAATGGCAGACCGTGTTATATTACTAAAGAAGTTGCGTTCATCTTCATATTGACGAATAAGAAACCGAACAATGATTGCCACTAATAAGATTCCATCCATTGTTCCACACAAAGGCGCGTATCCAGCTGGTACTCACCTATAGGTCACCAATGTGTGTGCGGTCAGTCGGTCGGTCGGTCGGTCGGTCGGTCGGTTGGTTGGTTGGTCGGTCGGTTGGTCGGTTGATTGTCGGCTGATTCACCCATTTACTACATTCATACTTACATTGGTTATACATAGGTGCATATATTGTCCTTAGTAATTAGAATGAAAGTGCACTATACAGTACTCTGTAACTTCGATTACCATCGACGATCGAAGTGTTATATTTATTATTTCAAAATGTTTAATCTAATTAAAATAAAATCAAAGTATTTCAGTATTTTTATAAACAGATTTAAGAAATGCACCATGACGGTTTTGTTAACGGTTTGCGAAGCTTTGAATTCCATTTCTATAGAATACGTTTGACCTACTTTCAACGAATCTCGAAAAGTTCTTCTTATAATTTCCGATCAAAGAATATTTCCTTCTTATTGAGAATTTATTTTATAGAAATTATTTTGTATAACTTGATAATTGATGTGTACGTTGATACATGTTCTAAATAGTTTAATTCACTCTCCTATTATAGATTTTATACAAAATCAGTTACATATTATTTCTTTGTTCGATTCTGTTATGTTTAAAATAACGTACTACATACTTTAAAGAAATATACATAATATTTAACTAAATAGTTACTGAAAGTATTGTAACTACTGGTTTACGGAGTTTCTATAGAAATCTCTATATGAGATTAATCGTCAAATATTTTATTCACTTTATGTTTCTGTAACATTTAAAACTTCAATATTTGAAGTGAAGTACGTAAAACAGTTTAAGATCACAAAGATGTATTAAAAATTATTATTGTTTACATTATCATGTTTAAAAAGCTTAAAAAGTTTGTAAATTACTGGTAAACTGGAGTAGTTATATTTTTAAGTTATCGATAAATCTGAGTCGTTATATCTTCAAATCATTATAAACCTTGATTATTAAATTTTTATTATCACCATTAAAAATGGCGAACAGAGTCATAAGAGTTTTCAGAGAATGTAAAAACAATATTCTACTAACAAAACTGCTTCCTAATTTATTACTTTCTTTACAAACAACAGATAATATTATTGAGGACATTCTACTGACAGGTTACTTCGAATAGACGTTCGAAAAGATCCGTAAATCCAAAACTCCTTAAGTATACAAAATTTAAATAACTGCTTTAGTATCAAGGAAGAGATAAAAGATCTCAAACATTCAAATTCGCTTACAAATTCACAGGTAAGAATATCGAAGTGATGACACTATACTTGTATACTGTGGCCTACAAAAGTGTTCGTACTCGAGGGTGAAATTTATTCAATTTAATTTTATTGATACTTTAATAGCATTTATATGCGGTATGGTTACACGTAATTACAGTTCTCGATCATCAAAATGTGTCAGATGTCGAACGAATAGAGTAATATTTCTTTCAGTAAGTGAAGGATATTTATTATACGGTTCCAATACCGGCACACACGCTTTCGCATGCTCGCGATATATTGTACGTAGAAATTCAAATATTAAAACAGATGACGTTGCGAAACATCTTAATGTTGGGAATAAATAATTGACCAGGTACGTATATAACCTCCTTTCAAAATGTGTGATTACTTTCATTGTAAAACAGCTGGAAAAAAGATGGATAAACAAAAAGGGATGAGAAATCATTATCCACGAATATAAAATTATCATTAATTTGCTTCATGAACAGGGATTTTTATGAAAAATTAGTAATATTGTTAAAAAGTTACGTTCGACTATAAAATATATTATTAAGGACATAAAGACGCATAGCAAGTTACTAATAGATATTTCACAGGAAAATCAAAAAAGACGTCAACTGGGGATGAAAATCTTATTTTACGTAAAATGAACGTA